ATTTCTGGAGATCAACGGCGCCGGTAGTGGTCGACGAGGTTGTGGTGGTCGTAGAGGTTCTCAAGAGGGAACGGCTGCTGGAGGACAGGTGTGCGGTCGACCAGTGAGTCTCGTAGGAACTCCTATCGCATGTCTTGTAATCACATTCCATGCACTCATAGGGTAGGGATGCGTTTGAATCGGCGATAATCACCGGCACCTCCTCCACGATCTGATCGTCACTACCGGCGCTTACGTTCAATATCTCTGTAATGAATGTGAAGTTGTTTTGGCTTTGGTTTTGACACTCATTCACCTCTTGTTTCACATAATCTGCGGTTAAAAAGGAGTCCAAAAAAGTTTGTAAAAAGTTTTGAAAAGTTTTTAAATAAGTTTTGCAATGAATTAAATGCTAATTAAATACCCGTTTGTAAGGCATTAGTGTTTTCCCAGCGATTCGTGGCTTTAGTTTTGGGACTATTTTTGCCGAAATATTGTCTCACTTTTAAGTCACTGTAAATACCATTGAATTGATTGATAGTTTGGATTAAGTGTTGATTTGCAGTGCATTTGCAGTTTTGTATCAAAACTAACGCATTGTTTCGGATATTATCCAAAACTTCAGTCAATTGTCTCTCGAGTTGTAATTCACGCAAAAGTCTCTCATTTTCGGTACTCAACTCATCCATGCCTTTAGTATTCATGGCTTTTATGGCTTAAAATAGTTGTTATCAAACTTTTACACACATTTAAAAGACAATTAATATGAAAATATCAATCATTATTTGAGTCTTAATTGAGTTTAAAACAAGTTTTAATTGACATTAACAGTGAGTCTATACGTTGATAACCATATGATTGACAGAAACCATAACAAACTGCGAGCGCTTTACTGAACACTGATTGCCACCTATTGGGCGCTCATGTAATGTACAAAACTGTTTGCAAACTTTTATTAAACATATTTATATCACAATTATATTTTAAACCACAATACTATGATAAATATACTGTAGTAGTTTACTTCTAAATTTATTATTTAATATGATGTAAAACTCATTTAAAATTAAATAAATATATTACCCATTAAAATAATAACTATTATTAAAGCATACATTTTCTTGAATTTTCTCGATTTTCGTTACAAACAATTTGATGTTTAGTTTATCAGTCGATTGCAGTACTAATTATCGCAAGATTTTATGTTTAAGTTTTATGACTTTAATAAAAAGTTATTTTTACTAAAAATATTTCGATACTTTTCCTTAAATTCAATATTTCTATGAATAAAGCAATTAATTTCAGTTCATTAAGACTTTCATACATTAAGTACAGTACCATTGATTCCCAATCACCATAACCATGTTCAGCAGCGGTAACATCAATATCAACGGCAATGCCTTTTGGTACGAAAAGATTGGGCAGGGTCCTAAGAAACTACTACTACTAGCAGGGGTTTTAGGTATGAAAATAATAATCAAAATTAATTATACCTTAAAATTGTTTGAAACCGTAGGAACCGCTCAAACAGACTATTATGAGTTGCTATTCGGTGACAATGCGTTCAATATGGATATGTTCACAGCGATTGTCCCCGAACTGCAGGGTTGGGGTCGATCCCGACCCCCACTCAGAGACACCACTAAATATTGCTACAAAACCGACTCCGACTGCTGTATGCAACTCATGAAAGTATGTCTGGCCTTTAGTTACTTGATACTTATTTAAATAATAACCTGAAACATATTTCAAACCTCAACTCTCTCTCTCTCTCTCTCTCTCTCTCTCTCTC